TTGAGAAGACATTGTGCTGAAGTCTCAGGATCTGAAAGACATTTCATGACAGTGTTAGAGGTGATCCATACTGAAAGGAGAGATGGACACATGGAACCTCACATTCACTTTATTGTTCACACATGTACATTTTCCCCAACCCCTGTTTTAGGACAGCCTGGCTTTCCCTTTCCTTTCAGCAATTTGTGGCACTAGCCTAGGGAAGTAACCTTTGTATCATGCATTATTCTAGGAAACAAACACATTATTTCAGTGAACCAAGGCTCCTTCCACACAGAAATGCATTTGAAACATACATCTTCTAATTATGGAACCCTGAGGAAATTTAATAACACATCCCTGTCTTCCTTGTCCCTTGTGACATCCCAGCAGGTTTTCTGGGGTAGCAGAATAAAGGACAGCTCTGGCAAGTCCCAGGGTCTGATCTCTGCTAATGTCTAGGGTTCTGAAAGGGATACCAAAAGATGCATGTGAAAGAGAAAAGTACTCTGCTCAACATCCTACCAAATAAAAGGAAAGACACCTTTCCCAGTGGAACATTGTACCCTTTGCAGTATTTCAAATTGCTAAATTGTTGCTGTTCATCCCATAAAGACAACTGGACCCATCACAATGAGTCCCTCCAAACTGACAAGAACACATAAGCAGACCATAAAGACAGACCAACTCAGGAAACACTCACCACGTTCTTCAAAGGAGCCCAGGGCTTGAGCACAAGGAGTCTGCAATCCCACAGTCAAGGGCCTCTTTATATGACTGCCTGCCCCACCCATTGTGGGTAGGGCTGTTATTGTGGGCAGGCCCAGGAGTTTCCCAACCAAAATGAAAATCCATGTATAACTGACTAACAGGGACCTTAGAAAATAGGAAATATCCTGTTCCTGGACACAATTGGGGTAAAGCCCTATGACTCAAGCCCTATAACTCCTGTCTCATCAGTTTCACCAAGAACACCCTGGTTATCTAAGTTGTCCTTTTTGAATGAAGACAATATTCCTTTTCTAGGTTACACCTCTCTTTTGTCTTGTTTGCTCTGCTTAGGCTGACTGTTATACTTTGTTGCACTGGTACATTTATATTCTTTCTTTCCAAGTATAATGTGTGCTGAAAGGAGACAGTATTACAGGGAACTCCAGCTTTGCTCTCAGCTTCATCTTTGAGAAACCTGTCCCTGGAGACAATTCAGGATCCCTGCCTAGGTTTAATTATTTCTGTTACCATAGAAAGTCAAATATGCTGCTAATAGGGGAGGCTGCTGAGCTTGAGGGATGAACAGACCTTATTAATGACTGCCATCTCAAATGACATATTAGTGATTTATATTTAGACTCCCCTCTAATGATAACTATAAGACTGTTTATCCTAAGGAAGCCTGCTCTTGCTAGGATAATTAGCATGAAGACTCACAATCTCTCACACATCATTTATGAAAAAGCATTGTTGAGACCTCCTTGGCTGGGATACATACTACTTGAGTTACTACTAGTATTCGAAATAAAAACAATACGCTGAACCCTTAATATACAGCATGTGTACACTGACAGACACTCATGCATGCACACTCACACATTTTATCAGTCTGACATTTTTGTCTGCTACAAAACTACATATATCACTTTTTGATTTTCTAATGTTTGTTAATGAGATATTCCTGCATGAAAACTGGCAGAAATAATTAAAAATTGTGTGTTTTGTCATTGTTGGGTGACTTTAGAACACTTTGAGTGAGTCCTAGGATCTTGGCACTGTAGAAGAGAACAAGGCTCAGAGCAGGGTGACAGTGGAAATTGCTCTGGGCACTTAGCTGATGGGTACAAAGGAGGAGGCAGGCATGGATGCTTGTGCTGCTGATGATGGTAAGACATCATGCTGAAGTCTCAGGATCTGAAAGACACTTGCCTGAAGAGGTGATTCCTCAGAAAGGAAGAAATTTAAGTTTATGAAATGTCAGAAATCTTCCTCAATCCCAGTTTCTCCTCCAGACTTCCTGCATTTTCCTTCCATGTCACGTTTTGTTTCATTGGCCTAGAAAAGTAACATTTTTCTTCACATTTTTAGGAAGAAAATATCTTTCTTTGAAAGAACAGAATATTGCTAATTGCAAAAATCAGCATCTTTAAGAAGGCACTGTGAAGTTTAAGTGTGACATACTGAGTTGTCACAGTGATTACAGTAATCTCTGTCATTGCTATCTATCATGATATTTCAGCAACTTGACTAGAATGCAAAACAACACCCAGATAAATTCAAGATTCTAGAAACTCCTAAAAAGTAGACCAATTGAATTCAGAAAAGTGTAATTTTTCTCTTGTCCTGGAAAGCTCAGTAGTAATCAGAGGAATAAGAATAAACTGAGGAGCAACAATTAGTAAATATGATGCTGTGAAACAGAGAAGATTAATTAAACAAAGGAAACAGTAAGTAAGAATATATATTTAATATATATAATATAAATATATATATATATATATATATATATATGATAAAATTTAGTAGGGCTCAGAGCAATGAGTCAGCAGTTTAAAGAAATTGCTGTCAGTGTGTAGGAACCCAAAAATGGAGGCCTATATTTCACATTGTCTAGCAGTCTGAGAATCTGAACACCTTACATGCATAATTTAAACCTTCCACACAGGAGGGGATAACGTTGTTCTTATGTAGTAAAGAAAACTTATCGATATCCCAATGAAAATATTAACATTTATAGCTCAAAATTGCTTCAAAACAGTAATCCACCTGCCTGTATTGCATAAGTGCCACAACTATGCACCTATAAACCATATTTAAATAATATCACTTCACAGAACAATAGCATATTCATCCCTGTGGTCCTGGAGATTAAACTAATGTCCACCCACCTAATAGGATAGATGCTGACCCAAAGTACAAATTAATTCTTTGTAGATTTTCACATTAAGTTCTTTCTTTGTGTACTGGTAAATTGGGCTCCATGATAAAATGAGATATGAATTTATAGATCATTTATTGAAGTAATAATAAGGAGTATAAAACTATAAAACTGTAATATCATTGCTTAGGTGATATTTTATTGTTAAGTACATTCTATTTTAGGTACCAAAAATGTGTTGGAAAATCATTAACAGTATTGAAAGCAATGCTCTGTTTAGAGCAGATAGGAAGAAGACAGAATGAATATTCAGATGTAGGATTTTCTGCCCCAAAGGCTACTTAAAGGTTTTTTTCATGTAATTCATAATTGAGTGTAATTCAATATTTTCATGTCCTAGTAGGAGATCTCAAGTTATAACTTGGATAAAGAACTAGGATCTGGGATATGTAATGGAACTTATAATACCTCCTGATGTCTATTTCCCACCCAAAACACACCCTTTCAAAGGCTCTTAAGAAAGCCCCATCACAGCAAGCCACTCCAGAGTCTTCTGTCTATTCTTCTCCTGGATTTCCTGAATGAAATTTATCACTCCTTGTGGGAGTGGGAGATATTTTAGCCAGACTGGATGTTGAATGTGTGAGGGGGTACTGAAGTAATAAGAAAAGTTCTTAGGAAATTTGTCATTTCTGATGTATCTATAATCAACAGAGACCTTTCTGTGTAATGTTTACTCACCCTCTTTTGAATCAGAGGCTCTGATAAGGAATGGGTAACACATGTTGGGCCCAGAGCTTTCAAACTTTGACTCAAACTAGGTGTTGTCTCTGAGTTTCAGAACATGATAACAGCCCAATTAAGAAATTCTCTCACTCCCTTCATGGAATCAAGGAACAAAAAAAGGAGTAATGGAAACATTAAAGTTTAAAGTATTTTAAATAAGAAGGTGAACCTGAAGAAAATTCAGACAAGAGTATTTTAATATTCAAAAATTGTTAGAAAAAGAATTTTCTCATTAGTCTTCTGGCAGATACAAAGAATACAATTATCTTTACATCTTACTTATTCCTGACATTAGGATAGTATTAACTTTAAATAAACTGACCTTCACAGGAGATGTTACTCAATGGAATTATAGTTCAGAGTTCAGGAAAGGTTTAGAGAGACAGAAATACATGTGAACTATTTTGAAGTCATTATTCTTCCTGCTCGCAACATAAAGCTGTCATTCATGAACTGGTCTTTTCAAGAAGGGTCTTTAGTCCATGTTACAGACTTTAGAATGCAGTGAAAAATACTGATATGCGACACCTAGGCAAAAACTGACAACGCTGAAGAAATGATGAGATGGCAATTAAAACAGTCTGAGAGATATATTCAGTCAATATTCCTGTTAAATCCCTGCCTTTGAAATGTTTATGTAGGTATGATAAATGGTCATAAATGACTTATAAATGCATTTACTCATTTCAAGTATTAGGACTACAATCATGGCATGACCTATGGACTTTATGGTTCTTGTAAAGATTACATTAAATAAAAGAGTTCTCAATAAAAATTTCTAATGTCTTGGGAGTGAAATTAAAAATAGTAAGGAAAAGAATTAGTAATAGATAGGTGGTGGGAATTTTAAAAATGCCATATTAAAGCCTTATATTTTTTCACTTTTAAAACAGTAACTATTTTAAATGTCTCTTGAACATAAACAATTTAGATTTTTCTGTTGCTATAAAGTGACACTATAAATAAAGCAACCTGTAAAAAATTTATTGGACTCATAGTTCAAGAAAGCATGTCCCTTATATAATGGTGGGAAGCATAGGCACAGACAGAAAGTAAGGTGCTGGAATAGTAGCTGAGATCTTGCATTCTGATCCAAAAGCATGAGATAGAATAAGAGAAAGAGACAGTAATATCCCTCTCTCTATTTCTCTCTCTCTCTCTCTCTCTCTGTGTGTGTGTGTGTGTGTGTGTGTGTGTGTTTGTATATGGGTGTCTATGTGTGTGTATGTGTGTTTGTGTGTATTTGTGTGTGTGTGTTTTGAAGTAATTTATTAAGGCTTTGAACAATAGGTCAGAAGTTAACAGTAATTATTCTCAGGGTTTAAGGGATGAAAATTGTAGGTCCATATTCCACATTGCCTAGCAGTAAGAGAACGTGAGTTACTTCTAGGCAGAATTTGCACCTTCCACACAGGAGGGGATCATGTTGCTCTTTTGTAGTAAATCAAACGTATTGACATCCCAATGTACTGTAAGCATGAGGTGACCTAGGAAAGAGGCATGTTCAGATCAATGTGACTTAATGGACATAAGTAATTACTACTGAGAGGGAGACAGAGACATCTACAGGAACATGCCCAAGCTAGGGACCTCCACAGAACCAGGCTCAGGACAGGGATATCAACAGAAGTAGGTTTGGGCTAACAAGCTCCACTGGAGCAGGTCTGAGAAAAACTTCACAGAAACAGGTACAAGGGAGCAACTACCCATGGAGCAGGCATACATCAGAGACCCCTGTAGACCCTAGGGTTATTCATGGATCCTGAGAGAGCAGGCCCAAGCCAGAAACATCTGAGAGAAAAGGCATAAGCTAGCTTCCTCAACAGGAGAAGTTCCAAAGCAGCAACCTCTACAAGAGCATGCTTGGTCCATTGACGCCCACTACCAGATACGAAGAAGCCCCTGCTGATGAAGCTGTCCTGAACATGAGACCTTTGACAAACCAGGTGTGAATCAGCAATCTCTGAGGTAGGAGACCTGAGCTAGCAACATTTTTTAGAATTGACCCATACCACCAACCTCTGCCAGAGCAAGCTCAAGACTGAAACCTCAGCAGAAACAGCCACAAGTAAACAATCTCCATAGGAGCAGGCACAAACAATCCTCA